GCCAGTATTCATAGTTCTTCAATTTGAAGATACTTCGGCCAGTAAATATTTTTATTGTAATGATAAACGGAAAAATAAAGTGTCCAGGGATGGGAAACTTATTTCTCCTTAAAATAAATTTCGATTTTTCGTTCAAAAGAAACATTTGCGGTATAATTGTTAAACTTCGTTCTACTTCTTTTATACTTTTTATAAAAAAAGATTTACTGGCCGAAGTATCTTTAATTTGAAGAACTATGAATTCCGGCCAGGTAGCCTCTATCTTTATGAAAATCTATTGTTGTTTTCATTTTTTAAAATCATTATTTGTATGAAAAATGTGATGTGCGTAATATCAGAATTCAAGACGAAATCATGCATTCAATATTTGGTTGCTTTTGCATAGAGAAACAAAGAGTGGAAGTCTTGGGTGATTTAACCATGTCTCAATTCGATAGTCAACAAATATATAACTGGATGAATGTAATGACGTTTAATCAAGGTCTTCTTTTTGGTTTATATAAATTCTACAAGGCCGCAGTCACCTTTCGGAGGAGATTAATTGAATCGTCGAATGTCGTGGTCCATTTGGATGAGGAAAGCGAAGACTTGAACGCAGCTGATTCCACACTCGGCCTGTTCAGTGATTCGCTAACCTTGAAGTATGCACGAAAGAACGTGTGGCCACTGGACATGCGTCGGACCTGGAGGCTGTTGTTGGGTGCTGCGCTGACTGGAGTATAGGAACTCCATCTATGCTTCCTTTCTTCCTGTGGTGAATCTGTATAAGACCTGTGCGAAGATTGAATGCGGCTGATTCCACACTAGCCCTCTCAATGATATCCTAACCTTGACATACTCTAAACATTGGTACTTTAATTTAAATATTTAATCATGTATGGTTCCTTTTGCTCTGTATGTTTATTTTTTTGTATATATGGCTATATTTATTTTTGTTTGTTTTTTTCTTTCTTCTCTCTTTTCTTTTTCCTTATTACTTCTTGTATTTTAGTTTTTACTTTGAAATATCTTCCTTTGCTAAATCCCGTAGAGGGGAATCATGTATAGGGCTGGATGCCCCAATAAAAAGGCTTGTGTGTGTGTAAGACCTGTGGTCTTAATAAAGCTTTGTGTGTGCGTATCATACACTTTGGTTAATTACAAGGCTATAACGTGTCATCTACATATAAAATAAATGGAAGCATTACAAAAAACAAATGTTTATTTTTTATAACACAAAGCAAACTTCTGCTCTTCTTACTGCAATGAAAAAAATGTATGTCTATTTCTCTTGAATACTATTCTAAGATTTCACCCTTAATTGCAGCGTATATAAGCAGAATCGTCTAATACAGTATTAAAGCTCTAAGAAACAGTCTGGTAGATTAAATTGACGAAAATGCTGGGAGGGTTCACCACTGATGATCCAAGCCCTCAATATTATTTCATCGCAGTAAGGACAGTAGAAGTTTGTTTTATATTTAAAAGAAAAATTCGTGTTTTAATGCTTCCATTTATTACGGTTAGTATATAGCCCGTAAAACCTTTATTTATTTGACATCATATCGCCACGCTGTAAGATTCAAAGGAAAAACAGGGTAACGTGGTAAGATTCTTTAATAGAACACGACGAGCTTTCAGGCAGCAACTGCCCTTCTTCAGGTCTTATACCTACCTGAAGAAGGGCAGTTGCTGCCTGAAAGCTCGTCGTGTTCTATTAAAGAATCTTACCACGTTACCCTGTTTTTCCTTTATTTATTTATTACAAAACACACGCTATATCCTATGTGGATATTTGCATGTAAATCTTTAATCTATTTTATGTACATAGTTTTTAAATATATATACAAATTATTTATAGTTTTAGAGAGAAAAAGTGAAATTTATTTGAATTTATATTTTAGAGCATTGAATTATACACGAAATGAAGATTACTTACATACATATTATCAAAAGTCCAATATATCTTTAGAATTACAACCACTAAACCAATGGCACAAATATAGAACATTCCAAAACAATAATAGCAATAAAAAAAAAACTATATACTAATTAAAACTAGAAATTTTAATTATTAATGTAATTAAGGTCCACGGCATTTGAGTAGAGTCTACAGAATTTGTTAAATTTTCCAAAATCTTCTTTACTGGAAACCATATTTTCTCTCTTTTTCCTTTGACCGGCATCTGGCGTAAAGAGTTCGCATAAAGCGAATGGTGCACGCGAATTCCTTTGGATTTCCTTTGATTTCCTTTAGTAGTCACAAAACCTTTTGTAAATACGTAAATGCGTAATCAAATATTTTTTCCTTTGTTATTCACGGACCAACTCATGAATTTCTTCCTCATTTTTTATCAGCTCAATTAAAGCAAATAGTAAAACGACATTTGAAATACTATCCCGCATGTGTTTCTTTTCAACGAAAAATCAAAATTTATTTCAATGAGAAATGACCTTTTGAACGAGGTATGAAAAGGTTAGAGATAATCGTTATTTCTCCTTGAAATTAATTTTGATTTTTCGCGTTGAAAAGAAACACATGCGGGATAGTATTTCAAATGTCGTTTTACAATCATAAGCCGCATTATATTATATTGTATTATAAAGCAAAGAGTGTGTTTTACAGTTGTTTTATTATATTTTCCAAGATGTCAAGTCTCTGCATACCATTGGCAAAATACTAATATATTCAGAATCAGAAAATAATTTTCTATTTCAAAATTATATTCAAACATATACATATATTACTGAAATAAAATCTATTCCCATCATATCAATATACAACAGACATTGGCTCAAATTTCCATATATGGGTAGACTTTGATGCCTCACCCAGCTTACAGTCCTGAACTGGCTCTTTCCGACTTCTATCTGTTTGGTAAATTAACGAATTCTCTACGCGGTAGTACATTTGAAAATGATGAATTGTTACTCCACGAAGTTAGAAGGTGGTTCAGAAAGCAAGATGTAGCATTTTATCAAAGTTGTGAGTTGGAAAGAACACTGGACCAAATATGTACAGAGGAGATATATTGAATGATATATAGCTAATAGTTAGGTATTCATATATACAAAGTTTATGGTTTGTCGAATAAAAATATTATTGATGATTGTGTATTACCTATTGACCCAGCCTTGTATTTAATCCTGACCACGAGCACATGAACCTTTTAGAAGACAGAGTTAAAGTAAAAAATGTCATGTGCTCGTGGTCAGGATATGCCTTTTTTATTTTAATACCAATACTTGGCCTTTTTTATTATTTTATTTTATATTATTTTCTCTCATATACAGTAGAATATCCTGTAAAGGACAACTAATTGCAGAGTCGAAGTGTCCTTTAGGGAGAGGTGTCCTCTTACCGGAGAGTTGCTACAGTAGAACCTCCCTATAAAGGACATCTAATTTCAAAGCCAAAGTGTCCTTTAGGGAGAGGTGTCCTCTTACTGGAGAGTTGCTACAGTAGAACCTTCCTGTAAAGAACATCTAATTTCAAAGCCAAAGTGTCCTTTAGGGAGAGGTGTCCTCTTACTGGAGAGTTGCTACAGTAGAACCTCCCTGTAAAGGACAGCACCTAATTACAGAACCAAAGTGTCCTTTAGGGAGAGTTTATAAATAGTAAAAATGGTAATTTTGCAAATGAAAACTGTCCTTTGTGGAGAGGTGTCCTCTAAAGAGAGAGGTTCTACTTTATTTAATGTACCTTTTCTCAAAGATTACAAATAACTTTTCAATATAAAATACTAGCCGAATGACCCGGGCAACGCCCAGGTTTTACCCGATTAAATGTTTTTATTCAAATACTATTCGTTACAATTATAAATTGGCACCGTGGATGTCACTTTTGTGAAACGTCCCGCTCCAAACTTTGTGTCTGAGAAGCGATATTTTTATAGAAAGATGATCTGGCTTTTATTTTCTGCTCGAATGAATGTTTTTTCTGTTAGAATTTTGTTCCTGCGTACAAAATAATGAACTGGTTTCACCCGTGGTCTCTGCTTTTTGGAATTTTTTCCCGATATAATTATGTATCCAATAATCAAACATGATACAGCAATATCGTCATCATCATTTTCTGACTAAAAATATATAGTTTTAATAATTGATTTATATATTTTTTTAAAATAGCCTATCGTCTTCCCCATATTTTTTTTACCTATGTATGGAAATTTTGGTTTGAATTAGTGAACTACTGCGAATTTGTATACCGGACATACAGACAGACAAACAAACATACAAACATTCATTTTTATATATAGAGAGATTTATAGAATCGTATACATTACAGCTACAGTTAATTCTTGGAATGCTATCGTTAGATCAATAAAAAGAACAAACCGAGATTTGCGATTGCAACCGAAGGATAAAAAGAAGTAGAACGATATTTGGAAATTATCCCGCATATGTTTCTTTTGAACGAGAAATCGAAATTTATTTCAAGGAGAAATAACGATTATTTCTAACCTTAGGGATGAAGTATGAAAGGATAAATTGTGAATAGTAATGATAAAGGGGAAAAAAAAGTGTCCAGGGATGGAAATCGAACCCACAGTGTTCCGCTTACCGGGCAAATGCCATGTCCACTAGGCTACCCTGGACATATTTTTCCGTTCGTAAATATTATAAAAAGTAATTTATAATACAATATAATGCGGCTTATGATTGTTAAACGACGTTTAACAAGTTTTACCGCAAATGTTTATTTTAAGGAGAAATAACGATTATTTATATCCTTAGGGATGAAGTATAATAGGATGAATTGTGAAGAGTAATGATAAACGGAAAAAAAAAGTATCCAGAGATAGGAAACTTTATTTTTACGTTTATCATTACTCTTTACAATTCGTATTTTCATACTTCATCCCTAAGTTTAGAAATTATTTCTCCTTAAAATAAATTTCGAATTTTCGTTCAAAAGAAAAATTTGCCGTATAATTGTCAAGCTTCGTTCTACAATCATAAGCCATATTATATTGTATTATAAATTAACTTTTATATAATATTTACAAACGTAAAAATATGTCCAGGGTAGCCTAGTGGACATGGCATCTGCCCGGTAAGCGGAACACTGTAAGTTCGATTCTCTAGACACTTTTATTCTTCCGTTTATCATTACTCTTCACAATTCATCCTTTCATAATTCATGCCAAAGGATATAAATAATCGTTATTTTTCCTTTAAAAAAATTTCGATTTTTTGGTTCAAAAGAAACATTTGCGGGATAATTGTCAAACTTCGTTATACTTCTTTTATCCTTTGGTTGCAATCGCAAATTTCGGTTTGTTCTTTTTATTGGTCCAACGAGAGCATTTCAAGAATTAACTGTAGGTGTAATGTACGATTCTTGAAATATTTTATATTGAAAAGTTATTTGTAATATTTGAGAAAAGGTATATTAAATACAGTAGAACCTCACTTTAGAGTACACCCCTCTAGCGAACACCTCTCGAGAGATAGTCGTTATTTCTCCTTAAAATAAATTTCGATTTATCGTTAAAAAGAAACATTTGCGGTATAATTGTCGTTCTACAATCACAAGCCGTATTATATTGTAGCATAAAAAGAAGTGTAAAAAAAAGTGCCGACAAATTCCAAGGTGCTGAATAATTCATGATGTAATGGATACGGTATTCCCCTGTACATCCGGAAGAGGTGAGTCAAGAGCCTTCCTGCCAATTACCGTCCTGGGCGGCTGGGAGGTCCGGTGACTCAGGTTACCTCTGGCAGTTCACAGCTCTGTAATCCAAGAAAATCATTCTGAAGATGATTTGTTTTGGTTGGAAGTTGATTTCAGAGAAAAACACATTCACATTACAACAAATAAACACAAGGTAATAAGACCAAATCCAATGTTAAGGCACAATTTGGATTATAAATAATAAACACAAGGTAATAAAACTAAATCCATTGATAAGGCACAATTTGGATTATAGAAAATAAACACAAGATAAGACAACATGCACATTCCTCCAGGAAAATACTTTGCTTAATTCTTCATGTGCCGGGACAGAGAAGAACATAATCAAGAGCAGTTCCCCATATCCCACAGCTTGTCTAACAATACAGAAACACACATAGATCGAACACCTGCCTTTCACTCAGTGTAATTCTGTTGAAGATCAAGAGCTTGAAAGCTCGAGGTTTTCCTTAATAAATACTTTTATTGCGAAGAGGTTTTATTATTTCCAATATAAAATGTATAATATCTTTTTATGTGTGTTTTAATTAAATATTATCATAATTCTGTCATCAGCTTTTTCTTCTCTTTCTTCATTTATAAAAATAAATTATCTCTGCCTTCAAAATAGACGTCAAAACTAGACGCCATATATTGACCGTTGCCGCAACTAGCGGCCTCGGGTCGGTGACAAAACCACAACACCAGCTTTGGCAAACTGAGAAGCGTCCACCTGTAGACCATGGTTTCGGGCTAATGGCCCTCGTCAGTCTAGGGCAGACTTTATTCCATGAAATCCACAAGGGATCTAATGGAATCTTCACAATCTGCCAAAGAGGTGTTTAGCTGACAAGGTGGCTAGTTTTTACGCCTATTTTGACAGGGAAGATTACTTTAATCTTTATAGATAAATATATTTTCTGCAAAATTTTATCTTTTTTTTTTAGTCAAAGATTTGGCCTAGCCACTTTCCCAGCTAAACACCTTTTGACAGATTGTCAAGATTTGATTTGATTCCTTGCGGATCTCATTGAATATAAAGCCCGCCCTAGACTGACGAGGACAATTACCCCGAAAACATGGTCTCTAGGTGGGTGCTTCTCAGTTTGTGCCAGAGCTGGTGGTGTGGCTTTGTCTCCGACCCGAGGCCGCTAGGTTACGGAGACGGCGTCTAGTTTTGACGGGAGATATTACTTTTATTTTTAGATCAATATCCTTCCGGGAAAAAAAAAAAATTCATTCATTAGTTTTTTTGTTATGTTCCACATTTATGACGCGTAACTACCGAAGCCTCTACGTAAGCCTTGTTATCGTCCTTTTTAAATTTACAACTTATTCTCTATCTTTAGTTTTATTTAATAATATTAAATCTTTGATTATAAACAAAATAATTATTTCCCCCCCTATAAATATTCATTATTAAAAAATTCTACCAAGAAGACGAAACGCTACATACTTGAAATACAGGTCTGTGATGCCCTTAGATTTCCGGGGCCGCACGCGCGCTACACTGAAGGAATCAGCATGTGTCTACCCTTGTCCGAAAGGACCGGGTAACCCTCTGAACCTCCTTCGTGATGGGGATAGGGGATTGTAATTATTCCCCTCGAACGAGGAATTCCCAGTAAGCGCGAGTCATCAGCTCGCGTTGATTACGTCCCTGCCCTTTGTACATACTTGAAATCCACATGATAGCAAGAAGATGCTGTGATAGGTAAATAGCAGAAAGCGCCGCAAGTCATGTCATAGCGACTGGTAGAATTCTTATTGTAAAAAAAAAAACAACCGATAAATGGCTTATTTAAATTGGCAAAAATTCAAAATTCCATTGTAAGTGAATGTCTGCCATGCAACACGAAAAAAATAGCAAAGATTAAAATCCTTTTGCCGAACAAATCAATATGCATGCATGTACAAGTAGAAACCTCCGAAAAGACATCCATTTGGAAGGCTTTTTCAGAGTTCAGGGGTTTCATGAGGTAAGTTAATGGTCGCCCAAACAACAACCAACCTGCCAAGCTTCCAAAAGCTGAAAAAAAAATCCACCATGACTGGCACAATGAGTGCCTTGGAAGTCAAATGCGGCTACAGGAATCCGCTCCAGTAGGCAGCAACAAGCTTAGTGCGAAGCTCGGACGTACGCTGCCACATTCGGCCAGTGCTGCTTCATTGAGCACTACGCGGTCTTCGGACCCCTAGAATATGTTAAAGCTTTGAAAGTTCTGCTAGGGAAAGGCTTGGTTTTCAAGCTTATGAAAATGTTCGGCCACACAGCCGGCCAGATGCCCAAGGTACGATGGACAAATTAGATTAGGTACATTTATACATATGGTGAAATTGTAGAGAGTTGGGTTGGAGCATAAGAGAATCACCCGGTCTAAAGTAATAACATGAATAGCTGTACAGGCCACCACAATCTAACACGGCCGGCCAGATTTCCAAGGTAAGATGGACAAATTAGCTTAGGTACATTTATACATAGATACATTTGTTGAGAGTTGGGTTGGAGCATAAGGGTATCACCCAGTCTCTAATATGGATATAAAGTTAGATCAATGAATGGTTGTAAAAGCGGCCACCACAAGCTCACTCAGCCGGCCAGATGAAGGGCAAATTAAACAGTGGCGGCTATAATGACTGCGCGCACTCCATCCAGGATATACAGGGGCAGCTGGGCGCCTTTTGACCCCTCGCTTTTTTCTTGAAGGGGTTCCTCCCCCTACCTCCCCTGTGGTATTTTTAGCGTTATCAGGAAGTCCTTACCGCATTTTTGAATCTAACCGAACACCGGACCTTCGTTTTGCGATCTTTTGCACCAAGTTTTATGGCACCAATCACACATTTATTTAAGGACGAGTAATCCTTTCAATATATTATAACACGAATAAAATCATAACACCACCATGGATAACACTGTTGCTAATAAGTCAATAAACCTCTTTATACTGTCAATTACATCTCTCATCCTTTATAAATACAACTTATGTTTTAATTCAAAACTTTTTATTTAGATATTTAATATAATCAGACTATACAAATTCACATATATATTTGCATATCTTATAATTTAGAGATATATATAAAGGGCGTACCTGGATCTGTAAAGAAAAAAAAAACAATTTTTTATCAAAATATTTCGAGAGATTGCTCCCTCTTTATCACTGTGCAATAAATTGATAAAAAGGGAGCAATCTCTCGAAATATTTTGAGAAAAAGTTGTAAAATTGTTTTTATTATATTTACAGATCCAGTTACGCTCTTTTATATAAACTTTTTAATGGATCATCTTCTGACTCAAACTCAAATTTTACGTTTTAAAACGAAGGATGCATTTGAAACTTTGTCTTCAATTACAATTTCAATCACAAAATAGACGCACGCGCTCACGTTTTATCGAATTTATAAGCTCGAGTATATCAGAACATTTTCGAATTTCAGTATGGACTGTATTGAAAAACAGCGAGTCTGCATAGGGTTTTGCTTTAAATTAGGGAAAACAGCTTCCGAATCATTTAAAATCTTGAAGCAGGCTTTTAAAGATGCCCTATCACAATAGAGGACATTTGAATGGTTTGCACGATTAAAAGCTGGTCGAATAAGCAAGAGAAAGAAAGGATGTTCAAATCGAAGCTTAAGTGTCTTATCACTTTATTTGATGTAAAGGGGTTGGTACACTATGAATTCATGCCCGAGTGTCAGACCATTAATCAACATTATTATCTTGATTTATTGCGACGTTTAAGGGAGGCTGTGCGTCAGAAAAGACCCGAAAAATGTCATCAGAAAAATTGGCTCTTGCATCATGACAACGCACGGCCACATACGGCCGTCACTGTACAACTCTATTTGGCTAAACACGGAATTGCTTTACTACCCCAGCCACCCTATTCTCCTGAACTTGCTCCCAACGACTTTTTCCTTTACCCTAAAATTAAAAAAGTCTTAAAAGGACCTCGATTTGACTCAATACCTGAAATAAAGGAGAATTCGAAGTATATTTTGAAAGGCCTGAAAGATGAGGATTTTCAGAGGTGTTTTGATATCTGGAAAAAAAGATGGAACAAGTGTATAGATAGTGACTGTCATTATTTTGAGAAATTATGAATAAAACTTTATTATACTTTTGTATTTCTTTAAATATTTAGCATTCCTGGAAATTATTGATCACACTATGTATAATAAGCAGAATAAAATATATATTTTTATTAGATAATAAAAGGCATATATTGGATTTTATAAAATATTTATTTTGCCAATATTTCGGCTGGCTGAACGCCAACCTTTATCGAGGCATTACATTTTTGTATACACAAACTCAGCGCCGCATAGTGTTATAATATCACAGTTGAAATCAATTAAAATACAGAGTAGGTGGGAGAAATTTGAGCATGAAAAAAAATATTATAAAAAATGC